GGTCACCCATTTTGAATAATATTATGAGTTCCTTGTTTTTCAATGCAGCTTAGTATTCCAATGTGTGAATATACCACAGCTTCTCTATCCATTTGTTTGTTGATGGGCATCTGGGCAAGACATTTTTTAAAAACTCAAATATAATTCCCAGTATAAACTAAAAAATCCCTCATTGCAGTTGAGCTGACCCTTAAACAAGTTTTCAGAAGCTTTAATATGCAGATGAGAAAATGGCTCCTATTTCCTGACTGGTGATTTGAACTAGTACCCTTCAAGTTAGCAATCCAGTTCTTTACAGATTATATCATCAGAGCTCCCTCTTGATAGACAAAGTGAATAATAAATATCTATTTATTTATTTATGGAAAAGAACACTAATAGTGATCCATTTGGAAATAGAATAACAAGGTTTGTCATCTCTTGGTTTCAGTTTCTGTCATATCTGGTATCTCATACTTCTGAAGTTCTTAAAATAAAAAACTTAAGAGGTTTATTTATAATCTATATAATTTCACACTTACCCCTATATATGATAAATTATTATTTGATTTCTCTTTAAATTGATGAAGGAATAATTTCACAAGCAAGAGAAATTCATTAGGACTCTCTAAGTTCTCAAGGGTGCCGAGCTCAAGGGAGGAAAATGTGTCCTTGCTCTAAACTTACATTTACATATTATTGGAGAAAAAAGGAATAAATATTCCCATTGTGATTCTCGATGATTTTCTAAAGGGAAAAGCACATTTATCTATATCTCATTGTCCGCATTTTTCACTCTTTGCTGGACACCTAGATCAATGGATGAGACTGAATATGTATGTTCTTACAACTGACTCTATAGGGTTTGGGGCAAATATTATAGGTTTCAAAAATTCTCAAAAAGGAGAGTTGTGAATTCATACTTTTTCAGTTTTAGTTAAGAGATGATTATATAATTCTCTGAATTTGGACAAAAACATATTTTTACTTGTGAAACAGTTAATTATTTTAAGAGTTAAGCAAGTACTAATAATCTTAGTTCAGAAATAAAATTCTGGAACTAATATATACTATATATAAAAGCATATTTTTGAAAACCCCTTACAAACTTACAGAGTCAGATCAAATAGTAAGAGACAAGCATAATTAAATAATTTCTTAATTTTTCATTAATTTATTTTTTTTATTTATTGTTTAATAAGGACAATTTTTAAATTATTTTTGTGCCATTTAAGGAATTCTGGTGGCATAATGCATGTCTTATGCTTCTACCTAGAAGGTTAGACACTCTGCAGGAGAAAGATGAAATGAGATCTTCCTGCTTAGATTTACAGATTCATAAAATCAAAAAAGTTTTTACATGATTCAGAGTTAACTTGAGGGTAGCAGATTTTGGTTATGTGTCCTGTATGTATTATAATAAGAATTAAAAACAATAAATCAGAATTTTGTCCTCAAAATAGCACTAACAGTAAGGAAGACAAGAAAAGAAAATAAGCTAATTGTACTACAAAGTATCAGGAGGGCAAGAAGAATATTATAACTGACACAGTCTGCAGCTGAAGCAAATGAAAAGGTGTTCCTAACTGAAAGGGAGAGAGTTATTTTGCATAGAATGTTTGTTATCAGTACAAGCTTTATCATAGCATGCTTATGTTGGTCAAAATGAATAAAAGGAAGTTAAATATGGGGGATAAGAATAATAATTCAAAAGATCAATACGTTGTAGAACCACATGTACTGTACCATATTTTGGTCTCAACTCTGGGTTGTAAATTTCACATATAGAAACAAAAATGAAAAAAGGTTACAGAGTTAAAACTAGGTGAAAAAGGAAGAATGGGAGCTTAGAAGAAAGTCTGAAGATTGTCTTTAAAATAAGATTAAATAAAAACATTCACACATTTTTTTTAAAAAACGTTTTATTGTGGTTTGGATGAAATTTTACAGAGCCTATCCAACAATTCTTTCTCCATACCTATTTATATGCTGAACAAATCATTCAATAAACTAGACTAAAAGACGACTGGAACAGCACATCAACAAAGAGCAGATTGGGTTTAGAAGAGGCCATCGTGCTAGGCATATTATAGCTAATGTTAGATGGATCTTGGCTGAAAGCAGGGAGTACCAGAGGAATGTCTATCTGTGTTTCATTGATTATGCAAAGACATTTTATTGTGTGGATCACAACAAATTGTGGCTGACTCTGAGAAGAATGGGAATCCCAGACCAATTGATTGTGCTTATGTGAAAACTATACTTGTACCAAAAGGCAGCTATCAGACAGAGCAAGGAAACCCAGTATGGTTTAAAATTGGGAAACGTGTTTGCCAGGGATGTATCCTATTTCCATACCTTTTTAATCTTTTTAATAAACCAGAACAGGTTATCCGGGATGCTGGGTTCTATGAGGAGAAATGTGGCATCAGGATTGAAGGAAGTCTCATCAACAATCTTCATTATGTAGATGACACAACTTGAATTGCTGAAATTGAGGAGGACCTAAAGCACTTGCTGCAGAAGCTCAACATCAAGAAAACAAAGCTTTTTACCACTATGGTGATTGGCAGCATCATGATAGATGGTGAAGAGATTGAGATTGTTAATGGCCTTAGTTTGCTTGCCTCTACAATCAACACCCCTGGTACCAGCAACCAGGAAGTCAAGAGATGAATTGCATTGGGATAGTTGGCTACCAGGGACCTCTCCAAAGTACTGAAGAGCAATGATGTTAGTCTGGAGACTAAGGTGTCACTGATCCAGGCCATAGTCTTTGCAATTATTTGCAAAGCTGGACAATAACTAGGGATGCTAGAAGAGAATTGATGCCTTTGAGCTGCCGTGCTGGAGAAGAGTATTGAATATAGCATGGACTACTAAGAGAGCAAACAGGTTTGTCCTAGAGAGAGTGAGATCAGGCTGTTTCCTGGAGGCAAAGATTCCAAATCTTCGTCTGACATACCATAGACATGTTGCAAGGAGGGACCAGTCTTTGGAGAGGGACATCATGCTTAGGAGGATGGAAGGACAGTGCAGGATATGCAGACTCTTGAAGAGAGAGTTTGATCTGTCACTGGGGTAATGGGAATAGGTTTGTTGAAGACTATAAGATTGGCAATGGATAGAGCAGGGTTTAGGGATATTGTACATAGGGTTGCTACGAGTTGCAGGCAACTCAACAGCACACACCAACAACAACAACAAATGTGTATGTATGTATGACTATGAGGAAAAAATAGTGAAGGAGAAGATATGAAATTGCATTCATTATTTCACAAAATTTTCTTAGGCATTTTTGCTTGGAAATTTAATGCATGATTTCAGAGAAATAAGATGTTCAGTGGAGAATTTTGATAGATAATGGAGAAGAAAACTATCTCCTCTAAAAAAATCAGAATATGTGAACTTGTAAGAAAGGGGCCCAGAAATCCAATGTGCAAGCACTTGACTCCACAGTACATCGTAGACTGCTTAAAGACTATATCAAATGATCAGTAACAGATAAATAATGAATAGTTAATCCTAGGGAAATTATATTTTTTAATAACAAAAGAATCAAATGATATTTTAAAATAATATTATTAATAAAAGAGGAATCATTATATTTTAAAAAGAAATTGAAATATCATATTGGTGTTGTGTACTATGTAGTCAGAACTGACTCAGCTAGCCCTTGAGTGGATTTTCAGAGGCTATAAATCACATGGAGGAAACTGCCTTTCTTTCTCCCACAGAGCATGTTGAATGTGAACTGTGTGCCTTTGTGTCAACAGTGTAATTCCTTACCACTCAAGATATGCCATTGTTGTTGCTGTTAAGTGCTGTCAAATTGAGAATGACTCATAACAACACTATGGACAACAGATCTGAACCCTGTCATATCCTGTGCCATTCTTATCATTCTTAGCACAGTTGGGTCAGTATTTGAGAGTCTTCCTCTTCTTCATTCATCCTTCACCTTCTAAGCATGATGTCCCATTCCAAGAAATAGCCTCTGATGTTATTGCTGTCCTATACCATTGAGTTAGAGCTGACTCATAGCTCACCCTCCAATGGGTTTTTAGAAGCAGTTTAAATTGCACTGGAGGATATTGCTCAACCATCTCCTACACACAGCTTGTTGATTCAAACTGTATGCCTTTAAGATTGTACCAGCTTCTTACCTAGGCCACTAGAGACAACAGCCACTTTTTGGGAATATGGGAATTTCAGACCAAGAGCAATACTATTCACTGAAAATTATTATGTCTGAGGACTAATTTAAATATTGTATTTGTTAACATGAAAAGGTGGAAAGTTAGCAAAAGGGAAGAAGACCCCTAGTGACTTGGATTGTCATAGTGAGTGAGCAATGGGTACGAATGTATCAGAGGTGATGAGGATGGCGCAGGATAGGATAGGGTTCAGATTTGCTCTTCACTGAGTTGTGCTTGATTCGATGGTATCTAACAACAAAAATAAAATGAGTAATTTAAATTACTAAAATACTAATTGCATTATTACTGTAGAAAAAAATGAACATAAATGTTATTGTAAAAGCCTACTGTTATTCAGAGATATGCCTATTGATTTGAAAAAATAAAAAAAGCAATACTTGAAAAATTGAGCTAGACTAGGCTGTGTTTATGTGTGATCAAACACTGTACCAAAAATAGTAATCTTGGTTAAGCACTTAATTGATAATTTAAAGCTAAACATTTTCAACCTGCTCAATATCTTCTTGATGGAAAAGGTCAAACAATCTATTCTTATAAAGATTGAAATCTAGAAAGTTCTGGAGGGCAGCTCAACTCAGTCAAACAGAGATGCTTTGTGTTAGAATCTCTGAGCATTGAGATAAGGTGGAAGCAACTCAATAGCTCATAGTAACAACAAATCATAAATAGATGATGCAGCTGGAAATAATGCAAGCAAGCAAGTCAAAATGGTATGTTATCACACACACACACACATACACACGTGTGTTTGACAAATTATTTCTTCAATGTAATATTTTGTTCTCTAGGATCGTTGTGATGATGGAAAGGGGAAACCTAACAGTCATCCGTGAATTTGTCCTTCTGGGCCTTTCCAGTTCTGCAAAGCAGCAACACTTCCTGTCCATACTGTTTCTGTGTATGTACTTAGTCACTGTGTCAGGAAACATGCTCATTATCTTGGGCATTGTCTCTGACTCTTACCTCCATTCTCCCATGTATTTCTTTCTTAGTAAATTGGCCTTTGTTGATATCTGTTTTATTTCCACTACAGTCCCCCGAATGGTAGTGAATACCTTTACTGGTACACATACTATTTCCTTTGCAGGCTGCCTTACCCAGCTCTATTTCTTCATTTCTTTTGTGAATATGGACAGCCTTCTTCTCTGTGTGATGGCATATGATAGGTATGTGGCCATTTGTAACCCTTTACATTATACAACCTTAATGAACCCTCGCTTCTGTGTTCAGTTGGTGTCTGGCCTTTGGGTAGTTACCTTTCTTCATGCTCTCCTACACACTGCGCTAATGGCCCGTTTGTCCTTCTGTGACTCCAATATCATCCATCACTTCTTCTGTGATCTCAATGTACTCTTGCAACTTTCTTGTTCTGATGTCTCCTGCAATGTGATTGTGATATTCACAGTAGGGAGTCTAGTGGCTCTCACACCACTTATCTGCATTCTCATATCTTACGCATTTATCTTCTTCACCATCATGAAGATAACATCTACTCAAGGGAAGCAGAAAGCCTTCTCCACCTGTGGCTGCCACCTGTCCGTGGTGGTGTTGTTCTATGGCACAGCCAGTGCTGTTTACTTCAGCCCTTCATCCTCTCACACACCTCGGAAAGACACATTGTCAGCCATCATGTATACTATTGTGACACCGATGCTGAATCCTTTCATTTACAGTCTACGGAATAAGGATATGAAAAAAGCACTTCAGAAAGCATTCTGTAAGGGTGTAGTCTTTCATTAAAAACCATGAAGTTTATTAAGCATTGAGTTTAGTGATAAAGTGTACTACAGAGGAAAATAAAAGCAAGTGACTTCTGAATGTTTTGTGTGTTGGGATCTGTGATTACTGTTCTATCTGGATAAAATATTGGCTCCTCTGAATGAAAATATAAAATAAAATAAATCGTTCCTGGAGTAAAGAAAGTGAAACAAGCAGTTACATAAAGTCTATAGGGTCTGGAATTTTAAGTAAAAGAAGAGTCTCTGCTTTTAAAACATACGTGTTTAGGCAATTTCCTATGAGAATTTCTTTCAGATATTAAGATAAATTACAATAAAATTGATGTGTATTAGTTGAAACTTTAATTATAAAGATCCAGATTCCAACTCTAGCTTCAATTTAATGCAACAGTGAGGTCATTGTATTTTTAATATTATATTCTTTTAAAAATTTAAAAAGACTCCCTACTGGTTGCTCTGAAAAGCCACCTTTGCATTGTTCCCAGTTGGCCTCCTCTCGTCACTCGCTGCTGCCACCTCCACTACACGTTGCCTCTGCTTGCGGACTAGGTGGCGTTCTCGCCAGAGTCCACGGAATTGGATCACTTTCGTGCCCCATCATGTCAGAGGAGGCCCTAGACACTAAGTTCAAGATCACCACCCAGGACGTGGAGGAGCAGAAGGAGGTGGTGGAGGAAGCAGAGAATGGAAGAGACGCCCCCGCTAACGGGAAATGCTAACCAGGAAAATGGGGAACAGGAGGCTGACAAAGAGGTAGATGAAGAAGAGGAAGAAGGTGGTGACGAGGAGGAGGAGGAGGAAGAAGAAGGTGATGGTGATATAGATGAAGAGGCTGACGCAGCTATGGGCAAATAGGCAGCAGACTGATGAGATGATTAGAAAGCAAAAAAGGAAAATTTAAATTCAAGAAAAAAATAACTAAAGGCCACCGTGACCTATTCACTCTCCTCTTCCCATCTCAGAATCTAAACGTGATCACCCTGGAGGAGAGTCCCGCCTGCCCACCTGTGGCAGCACCACCTGCAAATGACATGCGCTCCCTACCACCCAACTTGCAAGGGTAGGGAAAAAGAACCAGAACTCCCAAGGCCCTGCTTTTTTTCTTAGAAGTACTTTACAAATGAAAAATTTGTTTGCATTTTTTATTTACATTTTATATATTTGTACATATTGCTAGGGGTCAGCCATTTTTCATGATCTCGCAATGACCAGAACGTTCTCTGTCCTGATTCTGACTTTACTTGTGGTGTGACCATGTTCTTTATAATCTCAAAGGGGAGGGGGGACAAAACAAAACAAAAAACCCTTGTAAAAAGGCAAAAACACAACAACAAAACACGATCTTATTAGGAGCATCCCAGTAAAGTTTTATGTATGTAGTTTAGCTGTACTATAAGTAGTTACTTTGTATGAGGTAGTTAAAAAGGCCAAAGATAAAAAGTTTCTTTTCTGTATTTTTGTCTATGAAGCTGCTTTTTAATTTCCTTTATTTTTTTTTTGGCCTGTCTGATGTATGTTGAAGCAATGTTGTCTAACAATTAACCAGAACTCTATTTTGCTAAATTGTTCTAAAAACCTAAAATTTAAAAAATGTGACTTTTTTTCATGAATTATCTGCATTTCTTTAAATACAAAACCAGACACTGATATTTATTTATCTAGTCTGTGTATCTTTCTCATATTTGATAGTCTCATTTGATAGAACATACTTTCTGTAACTTCCATGGGGGAAAAACCACCTAATTTCCTTCCATTAAAAGTGTGTGGGATGCAATTCATATTTAGATTTCTTTTTCAATCTTATTTTTTAGGATGTAGGAGTATTTTTTAATCTTTTGGTCAGAATGTACCTTCTCCCTATAGAAAACCTTATTTTATTTCAAAAGAAAGTAGTAGATCTAAAATCATAGGCTTATTTTTATCTAACACTCCTAAAATGATATCCAGTATGTTAATATTATTGTATTATACTGAATTTTCCACACCAAAGTATGTGTTAACTAGGTCAGGACATAATTCTTATTATTGTAGGATTATTATACAGTTCATGAGAAGATACTATGATTCTTCATTTTATTATATGCTTTAATCCCTCATGTCTATATATTAATAATAAACAAATAAAATATGGAGATAGGACACATCCCTGGTGAACACCCTTCCCAATTTTGAACCATGTAGTGTTGCCTTGCTCTGTTCTGACGGCTACATCTTGGTTCAACCAGGTTTTACATAAGCAAAATCAAATGTTCTGGGATACTCATTCTTCATAGAGTTAGCCACACTTTGTTGTGAGCCACATAGTCAAATGCCTTTGCATAGTCAATGAAACACAGACATTCCTCTGGTACTTTCTGCTTTCAGTCAAAGTCCATCTAAATTACTTATAATATCCCCAACACCATGGCCTCTTCGAAATTTAGCTTGGATATCTAGCATGTCTCTGTTGATGTACTGTTTCCAATTTTTTTTTTTAATAATTTTCAACAGAATCTTACTTGCATGTGAAATTAATTATATTGTTCTGTAATGTCCACACTCTGTCAGGTCATCTTTTTTTGGAGTGGAAACAAATACAGATATCTTCTAGTCTGTTGGCCAGGAGAGTGTCTTCCAGATTTTTTGTCACTACTTGGTGAACACGTCAGGACAGCGTCTGTTTGGTGAATCTATTAGTATGTTGTCAATTACTGGGCGGCTGGGCTGTAAGAGAAAGAATGTGGCATCACTACTGGAGGAAGACTCATCAACAATCTGCATTATGAGAATGACACAGCCCTGTTTGCTGAAATGGAGGAGGACCTGAAGTACTTGCTGCAGAAGGTCAAGAACTGCAACCTTCAATATGGATTGAAGCTCACTGTCCATAAAACACCAGGCCTATTGACATCATGATAGATGGTGAAGGGATTGAGATTGCTAACACCTTCCGTTTACTTGGCTCCGCAATCAATACTTTTGGTACTAATAGCCAGGTTATAAAAAAATGAATTGTATTGAGAAAATTTGCTATCAGGCATCTCACCAGGGTACTAAGGAGAAACAATGTCAGTCTGGAGACTAAGATGCACCTGATCCAAGCCATAATCTTTGAAATTATTTGCTATGCATCAGAAATCTGGATAATGACTAGAAATTATAGAAGGAGAATTAATGCTTTTGAGCTGCGGTGCTAGAGAAGGTATTGAACATACCATGAATTACTAGGAGAACAAACAGTTTCATCCTCGAGAGAGTAGAATGAGGTTACTTTTTGGAGGCAAGGATTCTGAATTTTTGTCTGACATACTTTGGGGATGTTTCAAGGAATGATCAGTATTTAGAGAGGGATATCATGCTTGAGAGGGTTGAGGGACAGTTCAAGAGAGGAAGACTCTCGTTGAGATGGATTGACTCAGTGACTGGGGTAATGGGATAGGTGTGTCAAAGATGATAAGGTTGGCTCGGGATAGAGCAGCATTCATAGCTGTTGTACATGGGGTCACTATGAGTTGCAAACAACTTGACGGCATATAACAACAGCAATAAAATATTTCTAGTATGAATTGTATCTTAAGTGATAACATTAAAGGAGAGAGTAACTCATGTTATACCCTTTTTTAAGTGATTTCTTTCCTTAAGTCACATTCTTACTCATCACACCTTTTGCTTGAGTTACACCTTAGAGTATAAGTCATTAAAAGAGACTTAAGATTAGAGAGGGGACTCATTATGATAAAGAAAAAGGAGCAAATTCTGTCCTTTGGACCTGGGATCCTTCTGCTGAGACCTCCTAGACATACAGGGAAGATTGATATTGGGAATGCAGGGGAGTAATGGAGAAACCTTAGGAGCAATAGGCCCAGATATGTTAAAAGAATATAGGCCTCTTGCTCTAGAGACAATAAATGGGAAGATGCCTTCACCCAGAGCTGGAAACCTCAGTTCAGACTCAAGCTCCTAATCTGTGAAGGGCTAATTTTCTGTATGTTAATACCATACACTTGTGACATTTCTTTCAAAGAATCACTAGATGAATAAGTCATAAAATTAATCTAAAACAAAAGATAAAAAAAGGAAGATGAAGCTAGTGCCAACTAACCTAAAATTAAATCAGAAATTAATTAAAAATTCAAAACCAAATACATCAATGTTAAATAAATGACTTCATAAAACAAATTCAAATATTAGCAAACAAAAGATGATTTTGTTTTGTTTGCTTGCTATTTAAAACTGGAAACTTATCAGCAAATATAGATTTGGATTTTTGTTGTTGTAGGCGTGTTCAGTGTGACTCATAATGACACTAAGAACAATAAATCTGAACCCTGTCCTAGCCTATGACATCTTCAAAACCTCTGACACACACATTGCTGCCCATTGCTGCAGTCCCTGGGTCAATCCATTTTGTTGAGAGTCTTCCTCTCCTTCAATGTCCTTTCACCCTTCCAAGCACGATGTCTCTCTACAAGGAATGGCCTCTTCTAGCAACGTGCCCAATGTACGTGAGACAAGTTTCATCATCTTTATCACCAAGAAAGACCTTCGCTAAGACATGTCAGTTTGTTCTTTTGGCAGTCTGTGGCACTCTTCTTCAACATCACAGTTAAAGATATCAGTTTTTTCTTCTGTCATTCTAATGAATTGTCCAGCTCTCAGATGAATAACAAGTGATTGAAAGGACCATAGCCTGAATCAGGTGCACCTGAGTCCTCACTAAGAGGATAGATTCTTAAGTAATTATACCATCTATGATTTTTCCATCTAAAATAAATTTATGAGAATAAGTAAAAAAATAACCATGTATACTTTTTATACTCAATATGTAAACACACACGTGCATACTCACATTAAAACAAATTAGAAAATACCTTGGTTGTGAATTACAAAGATTATACATAGTACAAGTTGATCTTAACGACAATATTGACGAGTGTAATAAGTCATATACTTTTGAGAGTTCCGGGTCATGTACATAGAAACTATGCGAATGTGAGTAGTTCTTGCTGTTGTTATTGTTGG